AATCTATATGAAATACCATCAGGTTTAGTCACCAATACATACGGTGAACTCCAAGGACTGTTATTTTCTCATTATCTCTCTCATCGTAGGATTCACTCTATATGGGTGTTGCTAAATGGGTGTTGTATTTTCAACCTCAACATCATGCTGTAATACCTCAGTTCTCCTAGGAACATCAGAAAACAAAGGCCTAAACTTATGTACAATTTGTATGATTTGAGTTCTCTTCTCAGTTCCTAAATGATCAAGTTTCTTTTCTAAATTATTCAACACACCTGAATTATTTAACAGTTTATTTTCACATCTCCCCAATTTCATATCTTCACTTTCATCCATCATCTTTTCATCATCAGGCCTGACACATAGACAATTCACCTTATTGTTCACATAATTTTCTGTAGAGTTTCTATCATAATATGGTTTTTTCATGTTTACATGATACAACTGGTTTGACTTGCATCTTCCTGGAGTATTTACAATATAGTTCAATTCTCCCACTCTTTTTCCAATCACCCGGCATGTGGCAATAATACCAATACTTGGTCACCAGGTTTGAACTCTCTGCTCCTATACTTCTTGTCATACAACCTTTTCATATCTTCCTGAGTCTCTTTCAAATTTTCTGCAGCAATCTCTCTCGCCCTAAACAATCTTTTTTTTGAAATCTGATACATACTTCAATAACCCATGAGAATCACTTTTCCCAATCCACTTCTCCTTCTGCATACTTAATGGGCCTCTCACTTCATGTCCATATATCAACTCAAATGGGCTAAAGCCTGTAGACTCCTGTACAGCATCTCGAATGGCAAACAACACTAAAGGCACACCTCCATCCCAATCTACAGACAATTCCTCACAATACATTCTTAAAGTATTTTTTAAAGTCTGGTGGAACCTCTCCACAGCTCCTTGGCTTTGCAGGCTATAAGCACTTGACAAATTTTGCGTTATATGTAATCCCTTTAATATTTTTTTTAACATTGCTAAAGTGAAATTACTTCCCGGGTCTGAATGAATAATTTCAGGCAGGTCTACCCAGGAGAAATATCTCACTAACTCTCTTACAATATTTTTAGAATATATGCTACGTAATGGTACAGCTTCTGGAAATCTGGTAGAGACACACATTATTGTCAACAAATAATTATTTCCCTTCCGTGTTTTAGGCCAAAGACCTTCACAATCAATTACAATTCTGTTAAAAGGTTTACAAAATGCAGGAATTGGCTTCAATGGTGCCGGTTGTATAATCTGGTTGGCTTTGCCCACTTTCTGATATATCTCACAAGTTTTGCAGTACTCAGATACATTTTTCTTTATATTATGCCAATAAAAATGAGTTAGTAGCCTGCCAGTCGCCTTCCTGACTCCCAAATGTCCAGACAAACAAGAATCATGGGATAAGGCAATAACATGTTCCCTATATGCCTTTGGAATAACAATCTGCTTCCTAACTTCCCAAGGATCCTCTTTCTCATTAACACACCACTTTGTACACAAAATCCAATTGATACATCACTCTCACCCCCATTTCTCTTAGCTTCACTCCAACATTCCCTCAAACTCTCGTCACTTCTATAACACTACTAATTCCTCCTTGTCCACAACAAAATCTGGTAGTACATAAATTTTTGCTTCTACAGTATTATTATTTTCCAACTCTACTGTATTATCTGTGGTCATAACATCCTCTTTACCAAATATATCACCCATTCTCAAATCATCATCAAACTCTTCTCTTCTCTTTGACATTGCCCTGGTCACAACACAAGCTGGGTACACAATTTCATTATATTGTATATCATCATCATCAGGTTTACACTTCTTTGAATCATCCAACACATCTTGATTTTTCACAACATGGTTCACCTCTACAGTAGCCTCTACATCAAATGGATTTTCACACATAACACTGCCCTGCATAGTTTTTGAGGTTTGTGTATTATTAAGCTTTTCTGGGTGTATTTTGCATGCTGATCTCAAAAATGTTATCCATTTTGCTCAATCAGGTCAGAATTTTGTGCTATAGCATTTTAAGCGGAGATTCAGGTAAAATATTGGCATTTTTCGCTCAAAATGGGGTCCTCATATTCGTTCATTAAAAAAATCATCCGAGACATTGGCAAGCCTCACAGAAAAGATTTCGGTCAGTTTTAATGCCCTTACGATGCATTTAAATACACCCACGTGCTCGCCGGCCATTTAAATGTCCGCCGTGACGCAAAGGAAAAGAGTATATGTCCGTGTTTTTTTACATATATTTTTTCACAATTAAATTTCTTTTTCATCTGGTGGTACATGGCATGTTTCCTCTGTCTGTGGGATAGTCGAGCAGACAAGCAGCACTACATGCAATGTGACTGGCCTGCAAGAAGTGGACTTACTCCAGGTTCTCACAATGTTGTTGCCCATGCTCTGGTGAATCCGCAGAACATTCTTCTTCCGCCACTGCACATCAAGCTCGGTCTGTTCAAAAACTTTGTAAAGGCACTGGACAAAAAAAGCCAGGCTTTCAATTTTCTGAAAGAAAAATTTCCAAAAGTCAGTGAGGCAAAGCTGAATGCAGGAATTTTTGATGGCCCTCAGATCAGAGAGCTTTTCAAAGATCCCAAGTTTGATTGCAGCATGGATGTAAATGAGAAGAAAGCCTGGCATGCCTTTAAGTCTATTGTCTCCAATTTTCTTGGCAACTACAGAAGTCCAGAGTATGAACGAGTTGTTGAGGACCTACTTCTGAGCTACAAAGTTCTTGGTGCACGCATGTCCATCAAGATGCACTTCCTCAGCTCCCACTTGGACTACTTTCCAGAGAACTGTGGTGATGTGAGTGAGGAACAAGGAGAACGCTTCCATCAAGATATCCGTGTAATGGAGGAGCGGTACCAGGGTCGCTGGGATATCAACATGCTCGCCGACTACTGTTGGTGTCTGAAACGGGACGCCCCAGACACCAACCACCAAAGAAATTCTCTGCGACAGCCATTTATGCATGTCTAACTGTAAAGGCATCTATGTAGTTGACATATTTTGGTCCTATGTGTTGTGGTTACATTTCTTATGATATATTTTGCATAAAAATTTTGACATCATATTTAAGAATTTCGATTTTTTCCTAATTCCCATAGCATAAAAATCTGACCTGATTGGGCAAAATGAATGGCATTTTTGGAATCAGCACGCAAAATACATACAGAATCAGCTAAGAAACCCCGCACCTCATGAATTTTTTTTTCAAATGCAGCCCAGTGATAGGCTCTTGGACCACCTTGTCGCCAGCCAAATAATTACCCAATAACATCTGTACTCCAGTTACAGGAAGTTTAACACTTACCCCAACTTTTACAATACCACTCAAAAATCCACTCTCAAGATTTACATTATGTAATGGGACAGTCATCCCTGAACCAAACCTCTTAAATTCACTTCTTCACTCTAATAACCGCTTCTGTTAACAGAGAGATTAAATGTTAAAACACAGATCCTTACCTTATTTCTGGCTAACAATCTCCTGACAGCTGACAGGTGTTTATTTTAATACCACTGCTCCCATTAAAACTGGTTCAATCAAAACACAGCTTTAAACGACACAACAAAATATATTTAACAACAAAATATAATGAATATGTGCTCTCCATCCATGCACATACAAAAAGGTCACAAATTAGTTCACTCAGAATAATGTTATCTCCACCAAATACAATGCTCTCTCACTTCTACAATATTCTTTAGACTATAATTAATATATTACACTTTAGTTAACACCATAATTATCCATGATTGCCCAGATAATAATAGATAAATATGCGCCACAGAAGCTTGACCCTGCTCTCCTCTTCAACCAAGCTACAGAGAGAGCGTCACCAAAACCAAAAACGTTCCAATACTTATTGTTTCATCAACATATAATTTCTAATTCTTGCTCCACTTCACACCTGCTTCTTACAGTCTTTCATAACTATACAAAAAATCAAAATACATTTTACACGGCTTACATATTGAAACAAATACTATTATACATATTAATTTAAAGATAATCAAGACTTTTTAAAAGTCTTTACTATAACTGGTGGTAGGTAGTAGGCAGCTACCAAACAGGGAGGTCCTCCCGCCTGGGAAGATATTGGAAGCATAATGTATTGTCTAACGGTAGACCCTGCTGCCATATAGCATCACGAAAATTGTGACCAAGTCCCAGGTTGCTGATCTGACTTTCTGCCTCATATTCACACAATTGCAGGGTCTCAGTTGTTTCTCTTACTATTGACATTATTATTATTATTACTATTATTATTATTATTATTATTATTATTATTATTATTATTATTATTGTCATTATTATTATTATTATTATTATTATTATTATTATTTTATTTTCAATTTTGTATTTTTTTTTATAAATTTTATTTACTATGAATTAATATTATAATTATTTATATTACTATTATTAGTAGTAGTAGTAGTAATATTAAATTTTCGCCCCCCAGTCCCCGATGTGGGTCAGTGACTTGTGCCCAGGTGGGTTTAATCCCCGTAAAAAAACAAAAACAAAAAAAACAAAAAAAACAATAATAGCTTGGAATTTCGACTCTAAGGAAAGACGGGACACAGTAGACACTAAATACAATGGGTAACTGAAACAAATATTGGGGGAAAGGGGAGATGACCGTAACTCTAGAGACACGTGGACGAGACAGTGGTCTTAACCTCTTTACAATACATTTTGGGCTCAGCCATAATCAACTGCTACTTGGAATCTGAGTTTCTTCCTTGTGTGTTAAGACAGATAGACCAACCAACCACCTCTCTTTATTTCGTTAGCTCGTTTGTTTACCATCACATTTGATATTTCACTTTAAATAGTTGAGCATTGTTTTTTTTATATCAATGTGAAAATCAGTGTTAAATGAAAATAAGTATGATAACTAAATCAACATTTGTGTATGTTATGTATGTATGTGACTTTGGTTTCTTTTGCATAAACATGAGTTGTGTTGCAGGCGGCGAGGATGTACTTGGTGTCCCTGTCGTCATCCAATATCCCTACTTCAAGAACGGCACCCAATACTTCCCCTTCAGGTAAGTCGTCACACCCTGTGTCGATACTTCACCTTTGTACAGTAGTCAAAAAGTCCAGTAGTTGCCATTCAGGTAGTTCATCGGAGCTCGTATCTAGCAGGGCTGGAGAAAATCAGGGTTAAAAAATAAATAAAAAAAGTTCTGGGCATATGGGTTTTTGAGTGATTTTTTTTTAAATGGGGTTTTGGTTCGTCCATTTTTATTTAAATATAAATAATATGCATAACGAATTGGTATTGCTATTATTCCATACACTCTTGTTTTAAAGAACTATTTGGGACTCTTTGAGTATCTCACTTCTTGCCATGAGTCGTTACAATCCACATACCCCAACACCTTGATCATCTACCTAGGGGGTTACAATGTACAGTTGCGTCCACTCCTGCGTTTACCTCTTAACGTTGCCAATCCTCTCTCTCCCTGAGGTCTTAATCCCAAATTCACAAACTTGAATTAGAAGCATTCGCTAGTGAGCGGAAGGAAGAGCGGAGGGATGTGTCGGGTTAGGTGTCATTTTGTGGCGAGGAAACGGGATTCAGATTCAGATTTGCCCCCGAGGGGGCTAGTTTATTGGGCACCCCCTTACATCCTGTGCAAGGTGAAGCGCAGAAGCGTTTACAGCGCCCAACAGGGAAGTATGAAAAGTTCATACTTGCCTTTATGACTCGTACATTAAGGGCGTAAAAGCCTGAAGGGTAATAGGTTTTGTCAAGTTACATAAAGTGAGAGAATGATGAGTGTGTGGGGGGAGGAAACTTCCCGGTACATTTCATCTGTTTATAGCAAAGTGTGGCAGGTCCCTAATAATGTCAATTGCCAGGCCTGTCACTAGGAGGAGGGATATCTGGTCAGGGAGGGAAGAGGTGTTGGTAACAGCTGGAGATCTGTAGGAGGAGGTCATAGGGCAAGTGAGGATGTAGTGAGAGAGGGTGTGAGAGTCGGGTTGGCCACAAAGTATACAAACAGTGCGGCCAGGCTCAGGGTTGCCAATGTACTCACATAGGTACCTGTACCCTAGGCGCAGTCTCATGTATATAATCTGTTGAGATCGAGTCTGGGATTGATACTCTTTGTAGTGGCGGTTGTCGTCACCGGTTACAGCGTCATAGTGGCATAGTGTGACGCTACCCCGTTGTTTCAGGTGTGTCCAATTTTCGTCGAATGCCCCTCGTTGTGTGGCGTGTATGCGAGATTTGAGATGATTCAGGGAGAGGGCGAGAGTGGCTTCAGTATCTTCTTCTTGTGTAGCTTCTTTGGCAAGACGATCAACAGTGTCACAGGCAGTTATTCCTACATGTGACGGGATCCAAAGAAACTTGACACGGATGTCATCAGTTTGTTCTAGCCCGGCAACGGCGGCTAGGGTGTGTTGGGCGGCAGGGGAGGAGGGGGAGGGTAATTTGAGCCTCGCTAGCGCAGAAGTGCTGTCACTGATTATAAGGAGGTTCCGGCGTTCAGTGCGAGCATAGGTCGCCCCCTCATGAATGCCCGCGAGGATGGCTATGCTTTCAGCATCAGTGGAGGAGGCCCAGTCGTGGACCCTGATTTTCCTGCAGGCCTGGCGCTCAGGAATCCACACAGCTGCCCCAGCGCTGCCCAGCGTGGTAACAGACCCATCACAGTAGACGAGGATAGGAGGGTGGGAGGTCTTTAGAGAGGAAGCGACATCATTAATCTGCTCAAGGCAGTTAAGTTTGAGCATATACCTCAGTTGGGTGGATTTACGACCAGGGAAGGTGTGGACGACAACATCAACACGGGAAGTCGGCAGTGAGGAGCGGATAAATTATTGCCAGAGGTCGGTGTGTAGAGTGATAACGCAGGATGTCGGCAGCAGTGTGGACGGTCGGTGTTGAGAGAAAGAAAAAATAATAGGGACGAGCCGGCATGAGAGGTGTTAAGATGTGAGTTCAGTGAGCGCGACCGGGGAATCAGTTTGCTCACTTCGAAAAGTTTAACTTTCGAGATGGCGATGAGCAGTGGTGGATACAAACGGGAAGCAGGATCAGTTCACGCTGCGCGGCTTCTGTTGGTGGTCATAAGACGGCCGAGGATGAGCCTCATCAGCTCTGTTTTTGGATTTCTCTATGCTTTCTCGTGGAGGCAACTACAAGACAGGAGGAAACATCTATGACAACTCTGACGATGGCAATGCATAAGGACGTAGGACCTGACAAGGCTCGCTGAGACCGTGGTGAGGGTTGGGCCTCATTCGTTGGCGGCACTGGGGAGATGACGTGGGCAGCGACAGCGGGAGGTGGTGGCTCCTGGTGAAGTGAAGCTCCTTTAGGTAGACCAAGAGTACCTGTAGGTGCGCACTTCGATCGTCTTGTCCTTGCAGAGTCAGTGGTGTCTGACGCCGGAAGCGTGGTGGAACTTAGACTTTGGTAATGACCAGTGAGATGGGCGGTGTTTGACAGGTCCGGGCAGACATTAGGTATAGGTTGTTCATGTTCTTTCTGGTAATTTGGAGGAGAATATCTGTCAGCAACATGATGTGACAATCTAGAAGACCGCGCTCAGCAAAGATGTCGTTAGACGGCAGATGGGTTCATGAACATTAAAGTGTGGGGCTGGTACACCTCCCTTAGGCGTGCCAAGATCCAAGGTCTGATCGTAGAGTAGTAGCCATGAAAACGGACACAGGCCTCGTGCGGAAGTTAATTCAGCAATCCACGTGAGGTTGCCCTTCACATCCATGAGTGGGCCCTCGGATCCTTCACTGTTGGCTTTATCAAAAGCACCCTTGAAGTCGACGAAGGAGGTTTGGCGGAACCTTGCAATAAAGCGATGCAGTGGTAGTCTTTCTTTCGGGCAAATGCAAAGGTCCAGGGGTGCAGGTGGGCTTCAATTTTCCAGTGGAGGCGGTGACGTATCATGCGCTCCATCATCTTTGAGAAGCAGGAGATGAGGGATATTGGACGATAGTCATCTTGTCTGCTTGGTTTAGGGACTGGGATGGTGGTGGCAATCTTCCATAAGTGAGGCAGCTGACCAGTATCAAAAGAGAGGTTAAATAGACAGAGGAGGGGGTTATCAGAGGTGGCAATAAGGGCATTTAACACATCATATGTGACGCCGTCATCACCAGGGGCGGTGGACCGACCACGCTTAACAGCATTTAGTAGTTCACACTGTGTGAAAGGCACGTCAGTGTCTGCAGATAGGTCTTGGTACTCGAAGATGCGCTGTCGGCGTTGTGGTTGCAGTGCGAGGGTGAGGTCTCGTACAGCGGGTGGTAGCGCATCAATGGAGGCGGCCTCCTGCCACGTCTGGGAGAGCGCCTCAGCTCGGGCAGCTGGTCTGGGGTGGAGAGCGGGTCTAGCGTTGGTGCCCTGGGCACGGTTAACGGTGCGCCATATATCACCTATAGATGTAAACTGGTCAATAGAAGAAGCAAAATCAAACCACTGCTTCTCTCGTGCGAGAGTGATGGCAGACTGGAGCTCTTTATTTGTGCGCATGAGGAAGCGTAGAAAGTCAGGGGAGCTGGGAGATTTCTTCCACTGGTCGACTGCTAGTCGGTGCCATACTCGGATCGACTTAACATGAAGGTCACGGTTAACGTTCCACTGACTCCTGGGCTGGCGGTTAGGGCGGCGGTGTTTTGGGACAGGGCGGAGGAGGTCAGTGCATTGTTTGGACAGATCAAGGTAGAGTTGGTCTGCAGTGGTGATAGTGTAACCCTAAAACCATTCAGCAATGGTAATGATGAAGGCAGGTATGTTGGCAGGGGGTAGGCTGAGCCTAGGGCCCTTGGGTGGAACGGGTATTCTCACGTACTGGAGGGTAGTGTGGATAGGGAAATGGTCACTGTGGGAGGAGTGGAGGATGCGGGTGGAGTGTGGGCGGTAAGGGTCAGAGTAGAGAGCTATGTAGTCAAGTTTCCCTCCCCCGATGTGGATGGGTGATAGAGGGCAGAGAGGACGTACAGGGTCAAAGCCAACAGTACTAAGGGTTTCATAGACTTCAGGAGTCTGACACTTGATAAAGTTCCGGTTCTTACCTTGTCGAAATTGAATGTTGGGACCATGCTGTCTCCAGTACTTCATCATCCAATTAAACCGATCCTCGACGGATTTTAATAAATCCTTGGGAAAGTGGAGATTCAGTTTACTTGTTTGTTTGGCAGAAGGCAGGGTGATAAGGTCCATGGCATGGTGTTCCCACTGTAGCTAGTGTTTCCCATAGAAACATTACCGTCACTGTCATAATCACTGGGGTCTGACTCTTGAAGGGTGTTGGATTCAGTCAAGACCTGCTGTGTTTTATTCCCAGTTGAATTCTTTCTGCTTCCTCATGATCTCATCACTGTCATTTCCTTCACTTTTCTTCGCCGACTCTTGCCTCCTCTTCTTTTCTTTCTTACTAATCACCTCTTGAAAATTGTCTATCACTTCTATTGTTGTTGGCCGCGGATCGTCTGCTTCTGATTCGCTACTTGAAAGCTTCAGGTCGTCTTCTAAGTTGTTCAGTAGGGCAATCTTTTTTTCTTTAGCCAAAGCCTTCATAGGTTTCTGCCCACCACTCTCCCCAGGCATTGTGAAATGCTTGTGTTCGGTCACAGGCGAGATGGAGAGGCAACAACGTCACTACCACGTCATACAACGTCACGCTCTTCGCACTGCGCAGATGCGAAAATGACCGACCAGAAAGTCCAGGCAGAAAGTCCAGATATTTTATCTAAAATATTGTCTAAGTCCAGCAACTATAAATTTCACAAGCGACACTGTGCTTACAACTGGGCTCCACTGTAGTTCTCTAAACAGACTGTAGGTAGTCGTCTCACTAAATTCCCAATTGCAGGGAGAGCTCACTCACAACCTTCGTTGACGTTTCACTGTGCGCATGTCGAATGGGCCGCTCTATTAACTATTCTCTTCTGCCCACTGCAACTCACACCGGCAACACCCTGGTGACAGCATAGCCGCCTTCCAGCAACGCTGTTGCCTGCAGCTCTGGTTTATGCTAGCCTTTTCAGCAGATGACAATCGACCCCC